TGAAATTACTTGTTCTCAGACTCACTGAGAGATGCACAAATAGTTTTTTTGCACAAATTTTTCTTGAAAACCTGATCTCCAAATGTATATCCTTCCCCTTTGTTACCATATTAATAGAGGATATTAAATGAATTAGCACACATAAAGCAATTAGAAATGTTTGCTATTTTATTACTTTCTGAGCATCTATGCATGGGAACCAGTTTGGACCAGGTCAGAGGCTTAAAGGTAGAATTCCAGGCTTTTTAGAGCCGGAAGGTAACTTGGATCCAGAGTATTTCAGACCACACTAGCCAGGTATGCTCTGGGGCCAAAGGTATAGTAGAGCTGATTAAAAAGTTTTGGGTAAAATCTTAGAATAAATTTAAGGTTATAGCAACAACAATCACAACAAATATTGCCAAAGCTCCAGTTCCAGCTTGTTATACCTTACGGTTCAGAGAATTAAGGAAGGCTCTTCAAATGTCAACTAAGGAAAAAAGGAAGCTTTTTTTTTTTTTTTTGAGAGCAAGTCTTGCTCTGTCGCCCAGGCTGGAGTGCAGTGGTGCAATCTCAGCTCATTGCAGCCTCTGCTCCCTGGGTTCCCATGATTCTCCTGCCTCAGCCTCCTGGGTAGCTGGGATAACAGGAGTACGCCACCAAGCGCCATTCATTTTTATATGTTTAGTAGAGATGGGGTTTTGCCATGTTGGCCAGGCTGGTCTTGAACTCCTGAGCTCAGGTTATATGCCCGCCTCAGCCTCCCAAAGTGCTCGAATTACAGGCATGAGCCACTGCACCCGGCCAGGAAGCTTTTTCATATGCTATGTTTAAATTGGAAACTTCTGCCGTTCGCCCAGAATATTCTATCTCCCGCCTAAGTTTTCCAGAATTAGAAGCATATACAAATAACAAGGTGGAGTCCCCTAATAATATGGTGCCGAAGCATCTCAGTTTCCCTAGGACTGTTCCAGTTTGAGCACAGGCAGTCTTGTATCCCAGGACTAGGATGGTTGGTTTTCCTACCTAATAGGAAGGAAGGTCAAATGGACATTTTTGATAATTTGGAAAGGTTCTGAGCTCACATTTACCTCTGCTTCATAGATAATTCCTAAGTGTTCGAAGAATTTCTTTAGCATTAGTTTTGTTACTTAGTGTTCTTAACAATTCTTTCTTCATAGACAATTCAGGCTCTACTCTTCATTGTGAGGTATTGGGCAAGTTACTTAATTTTTTCCAAGCCTCAATTTCCTTCTTTATAAAATGAAAATAGGATTTTCATTTTATTACTGGCTCACGCCTGTAACCCCAGCACTTTGAGAGGCCGAGGTGGGTGGATCATTTGAGGTCAGGAGTTCAAGACTAGCCTGACCAATATGGTGAAACCCGTCTCTGCTAAAAATACAAAAATTAGCTGGGTATGATGGTGTGAGCCTGTAGTCCCAGGTACTGGAGAGGCTGAGACAGGAGAATTGCTTGAACTCAGGAGGTGAAGGTTGCAGTGAGCCGAGATCGTGCCACTGCACTCCAGCCTGGGTGATAGAGCGAGACTCGTCTCTAAATAAATAAATAAAAATAGTATCCATTCCGTAGAATTGGTGTAAATATTAAATGAGATTACACAGATATAACGCTTAGTATACATCGTGAATGTTCAGTTAGTGTCAGTTGTTAATCTATCATAGTTATCACTTACATAACACCAGATTGGAGGGATGATGTTTAAAATACACCTCACCCCCAACCCAGTAGTGTACAGGCACCATTTACATACCAACAGGCTGCATGCCCATTCTCACTGATTCGTATGTATATACACAGCACTGTCTATCAGGACCTCCACCACTCTATGAGACTTACCGCATGTGGTTAAAATGGAAGGAAAACAACTTTTAAACCTTAAGAAGGAAAACTAGCACAGAATGGAACTGTAAAATCTTTACAAGGGACCAAAGTAGTCATCTTACCAAGAAGCCTTTATTGAATATTGGCTGTATGACTGAAAGCCAAGGGAAAACCAAGCAAGTAAAACACAGCCCTACCCTCAAATTGCTTACACTCTTGTGTTCCAAGGAAACCAAGACCCAAGCGGTGAGCCAGGGACAGGTCAAAGCAGACAAGGCAGATATAAATCTAGAATGTGCCCTACCCTTCTTCCCAAGAATATAGGAGCCCTCTCAGCAGGGGAATAGACTGCAGGAGGAGGGGTGGGGAGAGTAGTTTCTTCAGCAGAAGAGGCCTTGAAAGTTGACAGAGGAAAAAAAACACCCAACAGGAACCTGAAATGTCAAATCATTAAATGGAATAAGAGTAAAAACAATGGCTGAAGTACGATGATAGAGATCCAGGGAAATTAATGAAGAAGGCAAATGTTCACTTAGGAGAAGGCTGTCCACCACAGATATTGGAGAAGCCCCATGACCAGCAATAATGGTCTTCTCATTTGCTAATGAGCATGTTATACTGGGCACAACCTAAACTGAATTCAGAATCTCTAGTCTCTAAGGTCCCAGTTGTCAAGGAAAACAGGAGGGGATCAGTGGCTCACACCTGTGATCCTGGCACTTTGGGAGGCTGAAGTGGGTGGATCGCTTGAGCCCAGGAGTTCAAGACCAGCCTGGGCAATACGGCAAGGCCCTGTCTGTATAAAAAATACAAAAATTAGCTGATTGGTGGTATGTGCCTGTAATCCCAGCTACTCGGGAGGCTGAAGTGGGATTGATTGATTGAGCCCTGGAGTTTGAGGCTGCAGTGAGCTGTGATCACACAACTGCACTCCATCCTGGGTAACAGAGTGAGACCCTGTGTAAGGAGGAAAAAAAAAAAAAGCAAGAGAAAGCTTTGTCCTCTTAGAACTACAAGACCCTGTCACTCCCCAGCCTCAGCGAAGCCTCAGAGCTTGCTGGTTAGCTACTCAGTGGTTCTGAACGCTGAGTGAGTAGCTCCGATCGAAGAAGGCAGGGTGCTCACATACACCTTTCCTACAATTTGCTTTCCTCCCTCAACCAACGCCACCCCCCTACATTTCCACCCTGTTGCATTTCCAGGCTTTGCCAAGAACTAAGAGTCAATAAACTCATGTTAGTGGAGGAGATGACAAAGGAGGTATTCCCTTTTCACAAACCCAAACAACCGGGATGCTCCCGAGGTGTGGCACAAGTAAACACTTTGATCTCAGGCTTTTAGCCTCACACTTCTCCACCCAGGTTTGACCCTCTTAGGCCCAGAACCAGAGGAAGCGCCCCTTCTCACACTTCTCTAAATCCTGGAGTGGCAGTTTCTCTCCCAGTTGAACAAATGCAAATGTGGGGATCGCTCTTTCCAGGTTTCTCTCCTACCCCTCCCCCACTGCCACTCTCCCATAGAGGCAGGCGGGATCCTTAGGAGCCTGCCTGTTAGGGCTTTCGCTCGGCAGGGTTTCAGCGTCTGTGGGCTGAATATACTTGTATTAATCTTTCACCAGAAATGAAGATTCCCTTGAAACCTTTCTGTCCACAGCTGGGTTTATTTTACTATTTTTAAAAATTCAGCCTGGTTTATTTTAGACAATAAGATAATTTGATGCCTAAAGTAAAATAATAGATGAGAAAGAGCTTCAATGGTGTTGAAAATGCCCGAGGAATACAACTTGTTATAATAACACTAACGAAGTTAGCAGCCCTGCTTGTCTTGCCCAGAACCAATGGGGCTGGGCTGAGGGGGAGGCAATGGTGGCTTTGTCTTGGGGCAAGGGAGAAAAATCTGCTCTTAACATTAAGTAAGGATAGCGCCTGCTTTTCTCGATTGCTTTGAAAATTTCCTATTTGAGCCTTCTTGCACTGTAAATATTTTGTAGGTGCTCAGAATTTCTTATCACTTTGTCTGGGCACACCACCTGCCTACAACCTAGAATCTCAGAGCTAAAAGGAATCTTAGAGAGGTCAGGTGACTTGCTCAGGCTCATACAAACGGGTGAAGCCATAACTTACAGCCCAGGTCTCCCACAGTGGTGATGTCTTTCTCTTACATAACCTGTGTTGTTGAGGAAGAATAAATCCTCCCTTACACACACACACGCACACACACACACACACACACGCTGGTGCCCTGTCCTGATGGTGCTAAGGACACCAAACCCATAGCTGGGTTTCCTGATGTTGTCTGCCCTGCCTCTAAATTGCCCCAGTTGTTCCCCCAGACTGGTTCTTACCAGAGCGTCTCAAACTGAAGGACAGCAGCTGCCTTGGGTCTTCCCATTGTGTTTTTCTCCTCCCTTGTCCTTTCCTTGCCTCCTCAGCAGGATTTCTAGAAAGCTTGATCACTACTCTGACACATGCCTGCAATGACATGGACTCATCCACCCTCCTGCCACACATAGTTCTTGAGGCACTCAGGATGTCCTGGGGTACTCTCTGGGGTTGGGCTTAGCTTACATTTGAAATTGAAAGCTGTGATCCAGGGAGGAGGTGAATGCCTCCCATCCAGAGGCTCAAGAAATTCTCACAAGTCTCTGATTTTTAAAAATTTCCCCCTCCCCCTCTCCCACCACCTACAGTTTAATTTGTCTTGACATTTTGCTTGCCCTCACTGTCAGTCAGGGCCACTCAGTAATTTAAAAGCTCTTGCAGTTTCAGCCTGAGTCTGCTCATTTAGATATGGGCTTTTGAAAAGGGTAGAACTTGCAACTCAGTAAGACCCCATGGCAGAATCTCCAAAGGGAATTACGGAAATGTATGCACTTGAGAAGGGGGTACTTTCAGCTACCTCTAAACCATCTGAGGCCTGCCCACCTTCTGGGCCCCAGCGGTCCCCATCAGAAAGCCTTTGCAGGCACCTTTTAAAATAGGGCTCGCACCTGCTAGGCCTCCCCTTTGCTCCGCAGTATTCCAGGCAACCTCAAGGTTCAGTCACTGCAGCCTGTGAGTCAGACCACCCCGATGCCCCTTATGAACTTCCTAGTTGCCCCTTTTGTCAGAGGTGAGGGTGCAGCAGAGGCTGGTGTGAGCAAGGACCGAGTTCCCACCGTGTGCCGAACCACCCACCTGTGGAAGAAGAGCAGGATGGAGAGCATGGTCTGGTCGATGTTGCGGTTGCAGATGCCCTCGTTGATCAGGTAGCAGGGGTCTCGCAGCACCGGCTCTAGGGAATCCTGCCTCATTATGCTGTTAAGCTTGTCGGTATTGAGGTTCTCAAAGACCAGCTTTTCCTGCAGCTGCCGAAAGTTGGTCACTGTCGAGCTGCCCGGGTTGTTGTTCTCCCCGCTGCTGCCTCGCTGGAGCCCGCTCCGGTGGGCCAGGTCCAGGCAGCAGTTGCAGCAGTCGAGACCGACAGGTGAGCGGCAGTCGATCTTGGACTGGGCCATCTTCTCAGGCTCCGAGGTCGCCTGGCCCGAGGGGTCAGGGGCGGCTGGCAGGTGCGCGCCCGCTGGGCCGGCCTGAGGGGACTCCAGGGTGCCTGGAAAAGACAAGCTGTGAAGAAAAGAGTTGGAAATTAGCGCCTAAAGCCAGTCACCCTCGGCTCGGCCCCCTTCTGGCTGTACTGCTCCTTGCTCCGGGTGCGAATAGAAACAGCTGGACAAACAGCTCTGAGCGGATCCTTCGGGCTCACTTCCTTCTCTTCCTCCTCCTCCTCCCCCTCCTCTTGAGGCCGGGGCCGCCCCCCTGGGGTGCCACACGCGGCCCCAGCGCAGTCCCAAGTTTCCCAAGTATGAGCAGGGATTGGGGCGGACCTGTGGCGGCAGGAAGGGCGGGCAGGAGGGCAGAGGGAGAGCCGGGGCGCGCCCTTGCTCCCTCCCTTCTTTGCTCCCTCCCTCCCCGGCTTGCAGGCTCTCCGGCTCTCGGGCTCCCCTGGGCTGTGACGGCTGAGCGGTGGCAGGAGCTGAGAGCGAGTGAGCGAGTGAGCGAGCTGCACGCTCGGGAGTCAGCACGGGAATATGACAGCATGTAAATTATCACAGAGGGGCCGGCGGAGGACGCTCCTCCGCCGCTTCCCCGGCGGGCAGGCGCTGGCCCTGAGCGGGCTGGATCCTGCCCCTCCACCCCCCCCCCTGCCCCGCCCGCACCCTCGTGCCCTGGCATCCAGGCTGCCACTCGCACCCTCGCCCGCGCTCAAGGGAGCGGGCCCGGCTCTCACTCTCTCGGCGCGCCGGACGTTTCGGTTCAGGCTCAGCGCTGATGGCGCAGCCTCGGCCAGAAATACGCACGCAGCCCCGAGCCCCTCTAGTGGCCCGATCTCGCTGGGCTCCAGCTCTGCGGGAGGGCAAACGTCTCTAGTCTCACCTCGAATGGGCCCCCTACAGGAGAGACGACGCCCTAGAGAGCCCCAAGTGGCCTTAAACCGCCGCCCGCCATAAGCCTGTTTTTTTTGTTTTGTTTTGTTTTGAGGGGGGACGTGCAAGGAGAAGGGTTGCCTCTACAGAGAGTCAGAGAGTGCCAGGCACACATGAGGAGTACCCAATAAATGCCTTAAGCAAAATTCACATAAGCACGCTCAAACTCTCTTCAGTTTCTGTCTCTTTCTGCTCACTTAACGGTATCCTCACCTCCTTTCCCGGCTCGCTGTGTCCTCTCTTCCCTGAATCCCTCAGAGGCAGTCTCTGTCCCAGCTTCCCTCTGCTCCTTCGCAGTCTCTCCTCAATCCTCCCCTTCCTTCTCTCTGCTCTTCTGCTTCCACTCATTTCACTATTTCCCTCATTTATTTCTCTTTTCTTTTTTCTGTACCGATTTCCTTTACTTTCTCCCCCACTTCCTTTTTTTACCTTTCTTTCCTTGTTTCTTTTTTCCTTTTCTGTATTTTCTCATTTCCCTTTTCTCCTCTTTCCTCTTTCTCTCATTTTCTCCCCCCCCGTCATTTCCCTTATTTTCACCTCATTTCTCTTGCTTCAGCAGCCCCTCTTTTTCCTCACTTCATTTACCTTCTCCTGTTTCTCCAAATTTGTTTTCCTCCTTCTTTTCTGAACATCACCTGCCGCCTTCATTGATCTCCGTCTGTCCTCCTTTAAATAGATGGAGCGAGCGCATGTTCACAGGCCTGAGGGGCAGCCCCCAGCTCTGTAAGATGGAGGGATGTTGTGGGTGGGCAAGTGGTGGGTTTCCAGGGTGTTTCAGAACTCAGAGACTTGGAATACTTTAAATGTGTAGGATTCAATAATTATTAGTGTCTGAAAAAAAGTTAAACTTTTCATGATGTCCAGTTTTCACGTAAAACTCACATTTACATTTCAGTCAGTACTCCCCACCCCTCTTTCAGCTCCTTCATTCACAAGTCCGACCTTTGAAATAGAGCAGTATATACTGCCATCTAGTGCCCAAGACATCGAATATTCTCTGCCTGCGTCACAGAGTTAGCTCTTTGAGAGGCACCACCAGAGGTGCTTCCTGGTGGAATCCACAGTGCATTGGTTCTGAGAGTAGCAGGGAAGTGTAGGAGGCGGAATTCCTACACTAAGAGAGTTCCGTGGCCAAGCTAATAGGCAGGAACACCAATTACGGCCTTTTTTTCTTTTTTCTTTTTTTTCTTTTTTAAAATGTTGTTAGCATAATTGAGTTAATTTCCAGGATTATCAATAGTTGTTTCCATAACAGAAATGAATAGAGACTCCCAGATCAGAACAGTGAACAAAAACAGAGGGAATCTTTTTCTGCCTCTTCTTTTTTTATTGCATTTTAGGTTTTGGGGTACATGTGAAGAACATGCAAGATAGTTGCATAGATACACACGTGGCAGTGTGATTTGCTGCCTTCCTCCCCTTCACCTATATCTGGCATTTCTTCCCATGCTATCGCTCCCCAACTCCCCACCCCCCGCTGTCCCCACATTCCCCCCAACAGACCCCAGTGTGTAGTGCTCCCCTCCCTGTGACCATGTGTTCTCATTCTTCAACACCCTCCTATGAGTGAGAACATGTGGTATTTCATTTTCTGTTCTTGTGTCAGATTGCTGAGAATGATGGTCTCCAGGTTCATCCATGTCCCTACAAAAAACACGAACTCATCATTTTTGATGGCTGCATAATATTCCATGGTGTATATATGCCACGTTTTCCCTGTCCAGTCTATCATCGATGGGCATTTGGGTTGATTCCAGGTCTTTGCTATTGTAAACAGTGCTGCAATGAACATTCGTGTGCATGTGTCCTTATAGTAGAATGATTTATACTCCTTTGGATATATACCCAGTAATGGGATTGCTGGGTCAAATGGAATTTCTATTTCTAGGTCCATGAGGAATCACCACACTGTCTTCCACAGTGGTTGAACTAATTTACACTCCCACCAACAGTATAAAAATGTTCCTATTTCTCCACATCCTCTCCAGCATCTGTTGTCTTGAGATTTTTTAATGATCGCCATTCTAACTGGCGTGAGATGGTATCTCAATGTAGTTTTGATTTGCATTTCTCTAATGACCAGTGATGATGAGCATTTTTTCATGTTTGTTGGCTTCATGTATGTCTTCTTTTGTAAAGTGTCTGTTCATATCCTTTGCCCACTTTTGAATGGGCTTGTTTGTTTTCTTCTTGTAAATCTGTTTTAGTTCTTTTTAAATTCTGGATATCAGCCCTGGGTAGTCAGATGGGTAAACTGCAAAAAATTTTTCCCATTCTGTTGCTTGGCGATTCACTCTAATAACTGTTTCCTTTGCCATGCAGATGCTGTGGAGTTTGATTAGGTCCCATTTGTCTATTTTGGTTTTTGTGGTCAATGCTTTTGGTGCTTTGGTCATGAAATCCTTGCCTATTCCTATGTCCTGAATGGTTTTGCCTAGATTTTCTTCTAGGGGTTTTATGGTGTTAGGTCTTATGTTTAAGTCTTTAATCCATCTGGAGTTAATTTTAGTGTAAGGTGTCAGGAAGGGGTCCAGTTTCTGCTTTCTGCACATAGCTAGCCAGTTTTCCCAACACCATTTATTAAACAGGTAATCCTTTCCCCATTGCTTGTTCCTGTCAGGTTTGTCAAAGATTGGATGGTTGTAGATATGTTGTGTTGCCTCTGAGTCCTCTGTTCTGTTCCATTGGTCTATATCTCTGTTTTGGTACCAGTACCATGCTGTTTTGATTGCTGTAGCCTTGTAGTATAGTTTGAAGTCTGGTCGTGTGATGCTTCCTGCTGTGCTCTTTTTGCTTAGAATTGACTTGCCTATGTGGGCTCTCTTTTGGTTCCATATGAAGTTAAAGGTGGTTTTTTCCAGTTCTGTGAAGGTCTTTGGTAGCTTGATGTGGATAGCGTTGAATCTGTAAATTACTTTGGGCAGTATGGCCGTTTTCACGATATTGGTTCTTCCTAACCATGAACACGGAATGTTTCTCCATCTGTTTGTGTCCTCTCTTATTTTGTTGAGCAGTGGTTTGTAGTTCTCCTTGAAGAGGTCCTTTACGTTCCTTGTTAGTTGTATTCCTAGGTATTTTATTCTCTTTGTGGCAATGGTGAATGGCAGTTCATTCTTGATTTGGCTGTCTTTAAGTCTGTTGTTGGTGTATAGGAATGCTTGTGATTTTTGCACATTGATTTTGTATCCTGAGACTTTGCTGAAGTTGCTTATCAGTTTCAGGAGATTTTGGGCTGAGATAATGTGGTCTTCTAGATATACAGTCATGTCGTCTGCAAATAGAGACAACTTGGCTTTCTCCTTTCCTATTTGAATACCCTTTATATCTTTTTCTTGCCTGATTGCTCTGGCTAGAACTTCTAGTACTATATTGATTAGGAGTGGTGAGAGAGGGTATCCTTGTCTAGTGCCAGATTTCAAAGGGAATGCTTCCAGTTTTTGCCCATTCGGTATTATATTGGCTGTTGGTTTGTCGTAAATAGCTTTTATTATTTTGAGATACGTTCCGTCGATACCTGGTTTATTGAGGGGTTTTAACATAAAGGTCTGTTGAATTTTGCCAAAGGCCTTCTCTGCACAGTTGAGATAATCATGTGGTTTTTGTCCTTGGTTCTGTTTATGTGGTGAATTACGTTTATAGACTTGTGTGTGTTGAACCAGCCTTGCATCCCCAGGATAAATCCTACTTGATCATGGTGGATGAACTTCTTGATGTGCTGTTGCAATTGGTTTGCCAGTATTTTATTGAATAGTTTTGTGTCTATGTTTATCATGGATATTGGCCTGAAGTTTTCTTTTCTTGTTGAGTCTCTGCCGGGTTTTGGTATCAGGATGATGTTGGTCTCATGAAATGATTTGGGAAGGATTCCCTGTTTTTGGATTATTTGGAATAGTTTCAGAAGGACTGGTACCAGCTCCTCTTTGTGTGTCTGGTAGAATTCGGCTGTGAACCCATCTGGACCTGGGCTTTTTTTCAGTGGTAGGCTCTGAATTGCTGCCTCAACTTCCGATCTTGTTATTGGTGTATTCAGGGTTTTGACTTCTTCCTGGTTTAGGCTTGGGAGGAGACAAGTGTCCAGGAATTTATCAATTTTTTCCAGGTTTACTAGTTTATGTGCATAGAGTTGTTTGTAATAATCTCTGATGATGGTTTGAATTTCTGTAGAATCTGTGTTGATATCCCTTTTATCGTTTTTTATTGCATCTACTTGGTTATTCTCTCTTCTTTTTATTAATCTGGCTAGTGGTCTGTCTATTTTGCTGATCTTTTGGAAAAACCAGCTCCTGGATTTATTGATTTTTTGAAGGTTTTTTTTTTTTTTTGTGTGTGTGTGTGTGTTATGTCTCCTTCAGTACTGCTCTGATCTTAGTTATTTCTTGTCTTCTGCTAGGTTTTGAGTTTTTTTGAACTTGCTCCTCTAGCTCTTTCAATTTTGACGATAGGGTGTCAATTTTGGATCTCTCCACTCTTCTCATATGGGCACTTATTGCTATATATTTTTCTCTAGAGACTGCTTTAAATGTGTCCCAGAGATTCTGGTATGTTGTGTCTTCATTCTCGTTGGTTTTGAAGAACTTCTTTATTTCTG